TCTATTTTTATATCATTATTTTTAATAAAATTGTACTTAACTTGAAAACTTATATCAGTATAATTAATAGTGTGTTTGTGTGTGTGTGTGTGTCTTCATTACAGATTTAAATCTTTTTCTATGCCTAGAAATTAGTTTATGTAACTGTAATTAAAATAATTCTAAATGGACCAGTTTAACACTATTAAAATAATATAAGTAGTGCAATATTGTAGCAAAATGTAGCTAATTTGAGTCCAATACATTTTTATATGGGTTATTTATCTCTGCTTATACATGTTAGGGGAATTAAAAATCAGTTTAAGTGGAATGAAGAAAATAGAGGAAATAATGGCTGCAAACCAAGCTTTACCATTACTGACCAAAATGAAACATGCTTATACAAAGGCTGTTTCAGGAAAATTTATTACAAGAAATTTGTGACTAGTCATACCATAGCATGGAAAGAAAGCCACAGGGCTGAAATGACAGTATAGTTTGTGTATGCAGTACTGCTGTGGTGGTTAAATTATAGGAATGTGACATTGATCTGAAATGGGAGTCTTTTGAAGTAGTAACTGTCAATCTGTGCAATCAAAGGATGGCCCAAGTCTTACTCAATTAGGTCTTTTGGCATGACCACTTTATAAATTAAGTCCTGCTGTCTTAAAAAAAATGTAATTCTTCAAGCAGAGACTCTAAAGGACTGCACAGTTTGGGAATAGTGAGCACCCATTCACTGCCTTGCCTTTTCTTTTTGCAAAAATGCCTCATTTACCAGACTGCTCTTACTATAAGGTGAGCCAATCATATATGTTATCAGATTCAATGAATATCTTTTGCTGTTTAGTTACTCTGCCCTATGTTTTGATTTATACATTTGTTTGCTGTGGTAGACTCAAAACAATATGTATGGCGTGATGTTTAGTTTAGCATACATTTGTTACCATTTTATGTAAGGATAGTCAATATTTTTAATTATAGACCAATCATCAGTTTGAAAAAGAAAAGAGATGTGATATAATTGCAATGTAGCCTCAAGATTATGCATAGTGATTGAATTTTTCCAAATAGTTGTTTAAACAAATCATATAGCTATTTTGGAGGAAAATGTAAAGTACTTAATTGTCTAAATGGAATGAAGTCTTAAAAAAAATTAGAGATTTATAATAACAGTTATAAATGTCTAGCATAAATGTCAGTTCTTCAGCTGTTCTTCAGCTGCCTTTATAGATAACAAATCATACTGATAAATACAGACTTCAACAGGTTTTTTTTTCTTTTTCTCCATAGGTACAAACACACTTGGAAAATCAATCTAGATATCACGTACAGCAGAGCCAGAGACATCAAGTGAAACAGTACCTGATGCTTGATACCAAACTTTCCAGCCAGACACTCTCACTGTCCCATTCGCATACAGCCCAGCCTGCAGGAGTTGCGCCTGTACTAAGAAATGGACACATGCCTCCTGTCAGTGATATTGGTGATCCGGAAAGTCCAGTTTCCAAGTTATTGCCTCTTGGAGAAGAACATGAGAATGCGGTATGACATGTAGATCTAAGATATAGCCAAGGTCAAAGGAAAGCAGGGGGAAATAGTGATTGCTTTTCTGAGGGGGGAAAATGTTATTTGGCACAACTTGTATTACTTGTGAGTAAAAACTGAATGTAGATGCCAGTTTTTGTGTAAGCGCTTCAATGTTTCCTTTTCTAGGGTCTTATTTTGTACATTCATTCACCAGAATGCTCTTGTTTTAAAAAGACAGTTCCATGGCGATCAATAAGCATGTCAGTGTACGTTAGTTTTTGCAGGAACGGACCCTTAAAGTACTACAAAATTCAGAGCATGCGTATACAAAAAACACCTGAAAAATATACAAGTTGAAAGTAAAATATTGTCATGAATGTTCTGCATATTTGCTTTGAGGGGCAAACACTTTTCCAAAGTTATTTCTCTCTAAAAATATCAGTCCAAATATATAATAAAATTAAATACCAAAGCAGTCTAAGGTGTAAATGTAACAACCGTTTATTAATTTTTCAGTTCACTGGTATATTTGCATCTGAGCCAGTTCTACAGCAGGTATAGATTGATGTAGATCACCACTTGGCTGAGGATCTGGCCTGTATATGTTGCAGACAAGATGTAGATTGTTGATCTTTAGTCTGTTTGGTCTTTCAATAGATTTCAAGAGCTGTTGCATACTAGCAAAAAGGAAAATTCATATTCTGTTATAAAGTGAGATTCTTTGTCATCTGAAGGACTTTAAGTGGAATAAAATAGTTCTTATGAACAGAGAAGTATCGCAGGGTAAAAAAATGTATACGACTTGAATAGTCGTGCAGCAAGTACGTGAAGAGGCTGGGGAAATGTAAATCCAATACCTTTGCTTGTAACCAGCTTGTGGGTCTAGCGTATTTTTCCTCCTCCACAGATGTTACTGACAACTGGCACATGGCAATTGAACAGAGCTACTGGAAGTGCACAGCTATTTCTTGATTGTCTTGGCAGTAGCAGCATGAAGTCCTATTCCATATAGCAGGAATCCAGGCACCCAATGCAGCTGCTCCACCCATTTCTCCGTTAAAAACTTCTCAGGGGTATAGAGGCCCATATGCAAGCCTTCATCAGCTGAGCAAATCTAACGTACAGACAACAACATTAGAAGTGTTTTGACTTGGCTGCTTTGTAGAGACAACCAGAGTTTGTGAACCAATCAAAACTGTCTAAAACTTAAACCAAACCCAAACTGAAACTAAGCTGAACCTCTACTGACATTTGAAAAAGGGATTCTTCCCCCCTCAATTTCACTTACTTTTTCAGTGCTCTGATTAAAAAAAGAGAGAGATGAGAAGGTTGGATTAGTATCTATTGTATATAAATATGTGTCCTTTTTATGTTTCAAAACTCATCATGTAAATTGGCCTCCTGAATTTTGGCCATGGTGTGAAACACTGTGGCATGAGTGACTCAGACTCTTGAATAACCACAGAGTCCTTGCAGCCTTCCTGGAACAGCAGACAAATGTGTTACGGATATGACACTTGAGTAGGAGTTGGGGATGCTGGTTATTAGTTGCCCACAGCCTCCTGACATCTGATCTTGGTGTGGCTCAAAAAAGGACTGGGTTGAGGACTGTTGGTACTCAGGGAGGGGGAAAGTAACAATGAACCACAAACACTTTTGTTTTACTCAGAGGAAGTAAGAAATATGAATGCACAGCTCAGCTAGAAGAGTTTGTTTGCAGTAAAAGAGTGTGATCTTTGCTTTTAATAGTTGTATTGTTATGATACTGGTCAGGATTATATTCTCTTTTGTTTCCTAAACCAAAAATATGGCTCATTTGTAATGATTAGTTTTACATTATCGTTTATTAGATGGAGGAGGTTATTGATGACATAATCAATATGGAATCACGTTTTAATGATGAAGGGATAGGTTGCTCCGAAGCTCCCCTACTAATGCAAAGAACTGTAAGTATTTTTTTTTTACTTTGGTCCTACTGCTACTAATATAGAATCACAGTAGAAAGATTGAGGGGGAAATAAACTCTATTGTCAATGGGTCAGATTTTCTTTCCATTTTCTTGAGTTACTTTTTTTTGTGCCTGGATATACCAGATGAGCTGAGGCGGATGACATCTATACTCCCTATATGTGGCCAGCCATAGGATCCAGGATTCCAGCCCAATCCCTCTATTGTTTACTATGGGATGGAATAATAGCTTCAGTTAGTCAATTCAGAGGTTTGAAGAATCATAAGAACAATGAAAGCCTTTTTGATGCCAAGTTAAAGACCTGTTGTAGCACATAAGTTCAGAGCTGCCTTGAGCATGTGTAATTTTTTTTCCTGTGTTATTCTGAATGAAGTGGTGAAGTAAGCTTTGTTGCAGATGGCCTTGTGCTGACCTTTTGTATCTGGATAAACAGAACTAATAGTGAATACATTCTAAGTGCTGAGATGAAAATGCAGCCTTTTGTATGAAACACACCACTAGGATAATAATAGCTTAGAAAAATGGATTATTCTATCAGTGATACAATAATATGTTAATAATATTAAAATACTGTTATCATGTGCTGTTTCCCCAAGTGTGAAGCATAGCCTATGGCGGGGGCGGGCAGTTATTTTGGGTGGATGGACGCTTATTCAGTTTTGGCAAGCATGGGTAGCCCCACCCCTTGACAGGTGTCCCACCCCCTGGTAACCATCTTGGGACCAATGCCTCAGGGTCAGCACTTGTGTAGCCCAGAGTGGGGTGCAGGCTGGCAGGGGTCTGTGGAGCTGGGCTGGGCTGCACCAGCAGGGAGAGGGGGGAGCTGGCCCAGCTGTATAGAGCCCCTGCCAGCTGGGACCCTGTACTCCTGCTGCCCTGCTCTGGGCCCCACCAGTGCTAGCCCTGGGACACCGGTGTGGGCCCCATGCACCTGCTCACTCCCAGTGCCCTCCAGCCCCACGGTACAGGTGGGGGGCAGCGTGCAGCCTCAACCCCCTGTTCTCTGGCAGGAAATGAGCTGGTACTGAGCATGGGTAAAAGTGTCCCCTCCTACTCCCCATGGCCAGTGCTCCCTGATCAGGCCGCTTGCAGCCCATGCAGGGCTGTCCTGAGCAGGCAAAGGCAGCCCCATGTGGGCTGCGAGCGGCTGTAGTGTGGGGCCCTGGCCATAGGGTAGAGGAGGGGCCACTTTTCCCATGCTTAGCACCAGCTTGTAACCCGCCCCTGCTGCCAGCCTGGGCCTCACGATGGCTCTGGATTCGCCCACTGGGGCTGCACATGGAGGCACCAGCTGCGGCTCCCCTACTTGCCACACCGGGCAGTGATTGCCACCACCTCTGGGCTGCCCAGCATGTGAGCTCTGGGCGGGCAGCAGCAACAGCAGTAAACACTGCCCAGCATGGCAAGTGGGGGGGAGGGGTGCGGAGCTGCTACTGCCATGGTGTCGCCCCGATGGGCAAGCCTGGAGCCAGCGCAGGGCCCACGCTGGCAGCGGAGGTGAGTTACAAGCTGGTGCTGAGTGTGGGAAAAGCAGCCTCGCCCCATGGCCACTGCCCTGTGGTTGCAGCCCATGTGGGGCTGCCTGTGCCTGCTCAGGACAGCTCTGCATGGACTGCGAGTGGCTGCAGCAGGGAGCGCCATCCACTGGGTGGACAAGGAGCCGCTTTTTCCAGGGCTCCTTCCCTGCCCGCAGTCCTCCCCTAACCCCATACCTGAGGTTCTGGCACG